CAAAATTGTACTACCAATATGCATATGTAGTCCTCATATGCAGCTGTGCAGGACATTAAAAGTCGGTAAGGCTAGTCACGTGTAACACGAGCCACGCTTATATCTCAACTTATTAGTTATAAAATTTTAATTTCCTTCAGCACACTCACTTTGAAACCACATTTAGTGGTATGAACACTGAGGGCCTGATTTACTAAGACTTTTAGAACATGCAAAATCTTTTTGCCCTTGCAAAACCAATAACATTGCCACTGACTGGTGCAAGGCAAGTACCCTGGCCAATCATGGGCAATGTTACTTGTTTTGCAAGGGCAAAAAGATTTTGCATGTGCTAAAGGTCTCAGTAAATCAGGCCCATAGTGTGTTAATTATTTTCTGTCTTGTTCACTTTTAGGAGAAATTGCAACAGAAATAGATGTTTATTCTATTTTGTCCTGTTCATGTGACGCAAGTCACGCTACAATTGAGCCCCTAAGAACCATACCGGGCCATCCCGCACTTTTAGCGAAATTGAGTTGAGGTAGTCAGCATGTGCAGAAAACTGAGATCTACGTTTCCTAAATGAGCCAACCCAATCTACTCACATGGATTGTTCAAACAAGCAAACGTCCTCTCTGCCACTGTACATATGCACTGCACTGCCTTAGCCATAGTGGACCATCCCACAACTTTTCCATAATTCAATGTAAACATGGCGGCTCGGTATCTCACTAATGAGGAACTGCTTGCTATGATTGATGATGATGGTGAAGTGGAAGATAATGGAGACCCAGAGTTTGTCCCAAATGAATCAGAAGATGATGGTTCTGCTTCAGAAGGAGGTACCTTTCACTTTAAATGAAACAGAAGGGCATCCAAAACCGACATAAAAAGTGCATAACGTAATTTTACATATCTTGGGTTTATAACATAAGCAGTGTTTCTAGTTCCCAGATACTCTAGATGACACAGGAGGCTGGCAACTTTAAGTCCCATTTTCTCAGAAGTTCCCCAGCATGGGTTGGCCCAGTATGGCTCTTAGGGGCTCAATTAGTGTTAATTAAAGCCATGTTATGAAATCAAATGAATGTTTGCTCTTATCTTTTTATATCTTTTACCAACGCCTTCCAGCACATGCATGAAGGGGGTTCTAAAATTCATCATTATAAGGTACAGGCCAAAATATAAATTCGGATATGCACGAGAATGTAACACGAGTCACCATGTTTATATGTAAATATAAACATCACATATAAACAATATAAAAATAAACCATGTAAATACCCAGTTTGCCAATTCATCTTGCAAACTACTGCTTTTTTTACGAAAACCAAAATCTAAACTGCTTTTATTGATATAATTGAATCCTCACCATTCTTTACTTTTCCTACAGCCTGGTATAATTGTAGGACCTCTGTGCAGCAATAAGTGGATGGAGGAGTGTTGACTGTTTCTAGACTAGTCGCTCCTGAATTGTTACTTGGCACTTGACACAGGAAATAATTTTTATTAATGTGCACTAGTTTTATCCACTGCCTAACCCCCTTTTTTTCTGAGTCTTTTTTCGCCTTTTCCCTCCGGAACACTGAGCCCGTGGACCATTGAAGCTCTGTCCCTCACTATGTGGTCGCTGGCGGCTGCTGTCCTGATCCGGTCTTGATCCAGTTCTGCTCTATCCTTGCCATGCCATTTCCTGGAGCCACAGATTCCATAGCTTGGATGTTAATGAGTTTTAATGGACTTTTATTAAACTTGATAATTATTTTATTTTATTTTCAATTAGCTATCCAATGGAGGATGGGGTTCCCCACTATAGCCGGGTTCCTCCTGAGATTTCTTCCCACTGGAGAGTTTTTTCTCACCGCTGTTTGACGATGTTTCTCCCGATATGGAGTTTTTTTTTTTTTTTTTTACTTCATTTGCTGTAGTGGGGATTAGGCTGGGCACTGTCCCCTTTTTTTGTATTGAAAAGTGTCTTTGTCACAGTCTCTATGTGAAAAGCGCGATACAAATAAAATTAAATTGAAGTGAACTTATCGTGTGTCATTTCAGTTGTTTAACATAACTGAGCCCCACAGAAAAATAGTGGTTTAACTCCGATTTTCTAATTTTCTTAGTTAGACCCATATTTTTCATGCTAAAGATAAAATCTATTCATGCAATAATGGGCCAGAAGATTGTTAGTTCCACCTCTGAAATATAGATAGTAGTGCAAGAGTGGTCTAACTCCAAAATTCTTAGTTTTTGAGCAAAACATGCAAAAATAACAAAAATCGTCAACGTTGACTACAAAATACTTTCTGACCATGAAAGCGAAGATTCAAAGGATGTCACTTCAAGACAGGTATAAGTACTTACTGGCATGCTGAGTTTGACAACGTCAAACTTTGGAAGCTGTTTCCTCAAAATGATAAAAGATGGAGTTATACCACTATTGTTCTGAGGGACTCAACTTACCTTGTGCCAATTTTATATAAAACTGCTCATATTTCAGTGAAATCAAGGCAGTAAAGTTTCCAAAAGTCTTTGACTGATAGTGTTCGACATTTTCAAAGATGCATATATTATTGAACAACAACCAAGTGTGGCTTATTTGTGTGGACCTCCACAGTAGTGTTGGGTGTTAACTGTTAAAAAAATTTGATTGTCCTCGTAGACAAAAATTGTAAAACCTCACAGCAATACCAACGACGCACACAGCAGGAAGTGAAGGCTCGGCGCGTTCTTCTTTGCTGGTGTGACCCAAAAGAAAGCATTGATCAACATCTCTGTTCGTTAGAACAGGGCACAAAAGCACAACAGTTATGATTAATCTGACTTCATATTATTAATTACGAATATAAAATTTTGTTATAAATGTGTTGAGTTTAGAATCATAACACCATACTTGGTCTTTTGCCAATTTTACATGATTGCGCTTCCGGACCCACACAATCGCAAAACCTTAGTTCAGGGAGCGCTGCATTGGTTAGCCAGCAACCATCGTAATACGCAAGTACCTTTCCCTCGCGACAGTTATGGACCCGAGTCAGCTATATGATACTAGTAGTATCTATCGGGCTCCTTAAGGAGAATTTGACAAGAACCGGCGTATTACGCCCATGGGTCCTCTTAAGCCAAACCTCCAGAGCCAATACCCCGCCAATCCCGTTAGCAGTCGAACGTGGCCCCCGTTCTAACTTACCAGAGCTCTCTAGAAACTTCGTCAACAAATTACAACAAAACAAATTATTAAAATGAAATAAATTTTATTACACAGGTAGGTAGGTCCACATAGTAAATTGAATTAGTCTGTTACTTAATTTAGAAAAGAATAATTGAATGCTAGAGTCTCTTACCCAACCTGTTTTGGCTACACACGACACACAGAGATGCACGTGCGAGAAGTCGTCTGCGATCTTCCATAACTATAGACTACACACGCACTAACGTACACGAGGAGAGATCGGGTTCGATCTTCCCAGAATGGATTGTCTCTCTTTGCTTTAAGCTAAATCACGTCTTTGATCCAGGCGGCATGGCCATAAATTACCTGGAAGGGGGGTCGAATCTGCATTTTGGGTTTCCGCCATTTGCAGGAGGTGATAAAACAATTTAGCAGAGAGGGAAAAACTAAATGATTATCCGAGAGGATTCTGACCAATTTACAGGAGTTTCTAAAAGGGAATGAACCATAATTTCAATTAGAATGAAACATACTCCATTCAACTCCTGGAATTCTCCTGAGAATAACAATACCAAACATGATACGAATATGTATTAATATGATGCACTTGTCATGAAAAACTCTTAAACTGGATTATTGTATGGACAATTTTGATTCTAAGCACATAAGTTGTTTCACAGTAATACATAGAATATATCAAAAAGGATTGACATTGTTATGGTGACAGAAAATTTAAACAGATGAGTTAAGGTCCAGTTTCATAAAAGGAATGACCAGGGCCGGGGATGATGTTCATAGGGGGAGAGCTGTGAAAGTTACCCCCCTCACGTCGCCAGAGTTCTGTTTATTGTCCCGGGCCGTTATAACCCCCCCCCTTCCCCAGTCTTCCACAGACACAACCATGAACACTCCACTTTCTTTGACACCACTTAGCCAACATCCTGGGGAGTTAATGGCCCGCTCACCCTACGGAAGGCCTAACAGCCTATTGTCAGACTGTAGGCAACATCAATCCTTTGAAGTTTAGGGTGAGCCTCAGTTCCTGGGCCCCACCAGTTTGTCAGCCCTTTGTCGTGTTCCAGCTGGATTTCTCGTCTTACAAAATTCAAACAAATTTTTAAATTTTTTTAAGTTATTATGGTAGGAGGATACTATTTTGATGTATCAAGGATTTTGACAGCTTTCATTTAAATGACACACGTTTATTTTTGCAAAAGAAAAATCCTCATTCTTACTCTGCTCACCTCTGTGTGAGCAGGAAACATCGTGAATTATAGAGACTTTTGTTTGAGTTTTTGAATAATGGCGAAAGTTTGTCACAGGCACCCTCCTTTTTACTTGCGAAGAAGACTTACGAAACTGTTTTGTTATGAAAGTGAGTTCAAGTATTGGGCATTATGTCCGTTTAAGAAATGGGCTCTCCGTTTTTCTCCTGTGCAAATATGCATTTACTGAATATACATAATTACACTGCGAAGCCATCATATTTCGTATTTGCTAAGAGGCATGATAAAACAGTTCAGCCTGAATTACAAAGCAAGTTTGTTTACTCAGAAAATATTTTTATATTGAAAATAATTTGAATTGACATCCACCCATCCATCCATTATCTAAATTACTTCCTCCTCTTTCTGGTTGAAGGGAGCCGGAGTCTATATCCCAGCCCACAATGGGCAAAAGCCAGGGACCCAGCCTGGACAGCTCGCCAATCTATCACATGGCGCATACAGCATTCACTGATGCCTATGGGCAATTTAGAGTCTCTTTTAGCCTTACTTGCATGTCTGTGCAACTGTGGGAGGAAACCAGAGTACCCAGACCAATCCAATGTGAACCCAGGGGGAACATGCAAACTCCACACTGACAGGATTCTAACCCGTGACCTTATTGTTGTGAGGCAATAGTGCTACCAACTACACCATTTTGCTATGGGGGCTAAAATTTTGTTTGTGCTGGGGGAAACACTTTTGTCTCACAGCAAGACGGCCGAGGGTTCAAATCCTTTCTGTGTGAAGTTTGCATGTTTTCGCAGTGTTATCACCAAGAGTGCAAACTGTTGGACTTTCCATGAAAAGGTGCTGTTTAGTGAAGTCAGAAAGTTGCATGTAGTATGCGTATTATAATTATTAACCCCTTTGTGCAGAGGCTGAATCTGGCTATTTATGTGTTATCTTATTTCAGGCTTTATAATTCAAGATTGCAGCTTCGTAGAGAGGAAGGGAATGGCTCGACTGAGTCAAGACACTTGTAGCATTTACAAGATTTTCATTGTATTTCAGTTTTTTTGCATAATTTTTGTGGAGAAAAAGGGCTGCAAACATGAAAAGTCTTCATGAAATTCAGCATTGAAATTGTAAAAAAAAAAATAAAATACTGAGAATTAAAAAAAATGGCTGGGGGTTAAAACTATACATTTCTGGGATCATAAACTCCTTCACCAAAAGCATAATTCATCTGAGCATTAAATTCTAAATTACTTACTCTTTAGGACCCAACTAAGACAGCTCTCCAGGTGGCTCCCCAAACTCTAAGATCCCTCAAAATGGTGCATGGTCAAATAATAAGAAAAAATCATATATTTAACACAAATCAACTTTTGACGCATAAAATTCAATATGAATTAATGATTTTCCGGTTGAATGTAACATGACTTTATCACGTCAATGATCACCAGTAACCTCTCCAAACACAAAACATGCCTTTTCTCCATGATAAAGTTTAGAATTTTGTCAATTTTTTCTTCAGAGTCCCACAAGCTGGCACACATACTCATTAACCTGTTAGGAACTCCGTTGCCTGTCCATGGGCAATTCCTTAGGCGTGATAAATACAGCATATTTCCACATCGCAACATTGTCATACGGCATATCCACTTTACACGAAGAAACTCGGCAAAAAGCTCATGTTGACCATTTTTACCTCAACCGAACACAATTCAAGCACCAAGCAAGAAAATAAGCATGTAGCAAAACAGAGGATAAAATCATATCAGCGATGAGTCGCTAGAATTTCTCCTGAATTTGTGCTATGCATACAAACGACACCTCAAATGAAAGAGGAAAGTCCACAGAATCCAATGATATATGCCCTGTCATTTTAAACTGACACCACATTCAAAGAACAGCAGGCATACACTTTAAAGTCAACAGAGATGAGCAAAAAAATGTCTTACCTTTGATATTTTGTAATTAAAAAACTGTTTGAGGGTAAATCCGCACTTGCTATTGTAAGCTGAATGTGTCCGTGTTATAACAAAACTAGATCTTCTAGTTTCCAAGCATGTTTTTTTTTTCTCCAGCATTGCTTCAAAGATCTCAGTTACTCAGCATTCAGCTTGCTTGCCATGTATTTTCCTCTTTGTGATCGGCTTGTGATGTTGTCAGTAAGACTTTGCCGTAGCCATTTGATTCTAACTCTGACATTTCCAACGAGCCCTAAACCACCTGAATCGCACAAACCTAACCTGAGAAAGAGCCTTGCGTACCCAGTGCGTCAAACTGAGTCCATGGGCCATTCGCATGTAATTAAATAGCATGACAATATAAACATTTAACAGGTTTGTTTGTGGTATTTTCGGTATAATTATCCGCAAAATATTCAGCAGTCGTTTTTAATGTCGTTTTCTGATAGAATCTTTCTGCCATTCCGTGTGAATGCTGAAGGCTCAACAGTACAAAAAAGGTGAATGACGTGTTTTCTTGATTCATTCTATATAGGAAATTTTGCCAAGGGCCAGCAGTTAACTGATATAGCCTAGTGGTCAGGGTGTAGCACTGGAACAGAGACGACTGAGGTTCAAGTTTTGGTCAGTTGTGCTTTAGTAAGACTAAATTAGCAATTTTCTTGTATAAATAATTGCTGGGGTTTTTGTTCTTTTTACTTTTTTCCCCCATTTTTTTTACCTTTCCTTTGTATTCATAATCTCATTAATTTGCTTTTTTTAAAAAAATAAATCAGCACCAGTGGAGCCAAACTTCATTTTCTTTGTATGTATTGTCTTTGAATGGGAAATTGTATAGGCTATAGAACTGGCAGAAAAACAATTTTAAAAAAATTTATAAATTCTAAAAATTGAAAACTGGTTGTATTTGGGTGGAATGAATGCCTGTAGTGACATATAAGTGAAATTTGATGAGTTTTACAGTTTAAAATTTGAGAAATCTGATTTGGCGCACAAGGTACCTGAATTGCCAATTTGGAGAACCCACCAAGACATTCCTCTCTAACTTTGCTCTGATTTACTTAATTAGAATAAAATTTGGCACAGATAATGGTGAGATTCTGTGCTGTAATTTTTAGAGGTTTCAGACTGCAGCTAAATAAGTTCACAAGGGATAGAAGTAAAACTTTGTTTGGTGCAAAATGAGATTTTTCATTTACACTGTGTTCCATCTTCATTTAGTCTGGTTCACTGACATAAATACTGATTTTTACACCACAGCAGAAATCCCAAATGGTTTTACCTTTATTATGATACCAAAATTATTCAAATAGCCCAAGTAGTCGCAGAGATGTACTCATTTCATTTTGGGCTTGCCATTTTCGAAAAAGAGGCTCAGGGCTTAAGGGGTTAAAGGAACTGCTTATTTAATGGTCAGAACATTCACCCTGCAGTGAAAAGCCAGCAGTTCCAACTTCCAAGCTCCCCACCTTATATAAACACTTTCTACACCTTATAAGGAACAAGTATAACTCACTAACTCAGAAATATCTGAAATATACCTTATTATAACAGAACAGACATTCTACTCTCAGGAAAAACAAAAATGCCACTACACACAGTAGCTATTATTTGCAAAGAATAACCGTTACTCTTACTAACCAAAGTGGCAAACAAGCTCTGTGATCATCATGGCTATGGTAAACCGAGAATAAAATACAGCTAGCCAGCTAGCCAACTAGCCATAAATAAAAAAAAGATATATAAATATATATCAGTGTCGGCTGGTGAACTGGCGATAGGGGAGGCTCAAAACAATCCCTTGAATAAATGATTGGTCACGACCTGTTTTCAATCATTCATTTAAATTACCATTACAGAAACTCCAAAAACTCTCAACATTATCAGGTATGGCCAGTTTTCATTTATAATGCATACTTGTCAACTCTCACGCATTCGGTGTGAGTTCAAGTGGCATATTTACGTTCCTCTTCTGTAGTCAGCAATTATTCAATCAACGCGTATGTAAGAGATTCTCGCGCAGAATTGAAGTCCTTGTGCACTGGAGGGGTTGGAAGCAATGGAATTGCATAAAGACGTCTCAAATAATCTTATTTCATTTAAACGATCATGAAACACATGCATTGCTTCCAATCCCTGAATAAAGAAAAGCGTGAGAAGTCCGGAGTTGTAATCGGTTCTTTATAAATTAAAACTGGCCACATCTGATAATGTTGAGAGTTATCGAAGTTTCTGTAATGGTAATTGGTAATGGTAATGGTATCTTGCTGTTACGCAAAGGTTTATATACTTTTCTGATGGTCCAATCAATGTCTTTCAGTTACTGCGAAAAGTTTATACTCTCTGGAATTGGATAAGAAACGTGTCAATCAATACATCAATACCAGGGAAGTTTCACGAGCGTATGAACTATAAGTGTGTCTTACGCAGATGAGCCATAAGTAAATAACTGAGTGATTGGCTATGAACATGAGTACAAGAGAGGATATATAGGAGTGCTGAATTCATTGATGGAGGAATCTACACGTAAATCCACAGCAAGGAACTATGCATTTGTGATATATGATATGACATGGTATCAATACCATGTCGAATTTTTGCTTCAGAAAACTGATTTTTCTTAACTACTAATTGGGATACCATTGGCTCACCATAGCTGAACTGGTTGCAACAAAGGTCTGTGATTTTTTCTGTCACAAGAGATCATTTTTATTAACTGCTGGATAGATACTATGGGCATGTATGTTGGGCAGTTTGCACATCAGGCTGGGCTGAGCAGTTGAATTCATACAATTCCTGGGAAACAGGTGTAAGGCATTTTAGTAGATCAAAGCTTCCCCAATGTGCCAGGGTGTTGACTTGAACCGGGATTGGCTTCCTGGGGATGGGAACTTATCAAGGGGGGTGGTAACTCAAGTCTCACTGCAACCAAATGGGATGCAGACAAACACACGTAGAGGTGACAATAACCAACAGGTTAGAAAAATGGGCCTCAGTATGCATGACTGTTGATGTCTTTAGTCCCATGGGAAACAAGGAAGCACACAGGGGGGTGTCTGACAGTTCATCAGGAAAAGTTAGCAGACATGATGCTGATGTCACAATGACCATTTGGTTACCTGTCACCTCATTGGTACACTGGCCTCAGAAGAGGTATAAAGCTGCTTCCTGACTGACAGTAATTTGTAATTGCCTTGCCTTGCTTTTACCCGGTATGTTACATACTGTAAAGAAGACTATTTTGCTCTGTAAATAAATTGTTGTTGACCTGAACTTTGGGACTACCAGTTTACTTCACAAAGGACCAAATTCCTACACAGGGATGGGACTTAACTCGTCCATATTGAAAGTGTTTGAGCTCAGCTTGCTAGTGAATATTCAATAACTGATCCGAATTATGATCTAGTCATCTAGAATAGTGTATGTGAGAGAAATTTAGTTATAAATTGTTTATCCTTGTAACCTAGGTTGTGCGTAGTTGATTATTCTTGTAATCTAGCTTGTGCGTAAGCAGAAGTGTTATGAGATGCGCTTGCCACCTTCTGAGCCTTGGGATCCTCCAAGGCCCTGAGTGTACTCGCAGAGCTGTGTGCTCCTTGGCATCCTCCGAGGCCTTGACATAAGGCCTCGGAGTGAGATAACTGCAGGGGGAGTCTCCTCTCCACTGGGACTGATGTGCTAATAGCAACCAGAAGTATGTGGGATACGTTCCCCTAACTGTGGAATGCTGAAAGAAGAGACTTCTGT